GCATTAATTTGCCAATCGTCAACTCTCCAACTGCAACACCCATGTCATTCATTAAGCATCCTTCAGTCTCAAGATACAATGTTAACATGCTCTGAATAGAGGTCTTGGAACAGTGTCTAGTATGGCTGAGAAGGCCAATTCGAGAGTGGCAATCCCTTCCACACTGAAGATAAATACAATCTGTCCCCTGTCCAGCTCCCTGATTTTGCTGCTTTCGTGACTGGCTCTTTGCCTCGGCCTGCTGGACAAGGATCTCTTCAAATTGGGAGAGGCCATGATGCACTGCCTGCCTCCAGGCTGAACGCTCAGATGTCAGGGTTTCCCATCTGTTGAGATCCATTCCTAAGGCCTTCAGATCCCGCTTGCAGATCTCCTTGTATCACAGCTGTGGTCTCCCTCTGGGGTGCCTTCCATGCACTAATTCTCCATACAGGAGATCTTCTGGAATCCGACCATCAGCCATTCTCACGACATGCCCAAGCCAACGTAGATGTCGCAGTTTCAATAATGTATATATGCTAAAAATTCCAGTTCGTTCTAGGACTACTCTATTTGGAACTTTGTCCTGTCAGGTGATACCAAATATGCGTTGGAGGCAACACATATGGAACATGTTCAGCTTCCTCTCCGGCCGTGCACAAAAGGTTCAAGACTCACTGCAGTACAAGAGTGTGCTCAGGACACAGGCTTTATAGACCTGGATCTTGGTATATGTCATCAGCATCTTATTGAGCCATATTCTCTTTGTGAGTCTTGAGAACATGGTAGCTGCTTTCCCAATGCGTTTATCCAGCTCGACATCTAGAGACAGGGTGTCAGAGATGGTTGAGCCAAGGTACACAAAGTCATGAACAACCTCCAATTCTTGTGTGGAGATGGTAATAGAGGGAGTGGAGTCCACGCCCTGGCCCATGACTTGTGTTTTCTTCAGGCTGATTGTTAGTCCAAAGTCTTGGCAGGCCTTGCTAAAACGATTCATGAATTGTTGGAGGTCTTCAGCAGAATGGGCAACAGTGGCTGCATCATCTGCGAAGAGGAGGTCCCGTATGCATTTCAGCTGGACTTTGTACAACACCCATGTACAAGCAGGAGATACCTCCCGACTAGGGGGACACTAAAGTTTTCAAGAAGTACAACAGAACTTTAGGGAAGAAGGTTAAAAGGGAGGGGGGCATACCCTAAATTACCGAACAGCTAAAATTCTGTTGCATAATGTATTTTAATGTAAAGGAGATGCCGCCGCCACAAGAGAGAGAGATAGCTAGTAATTAAAGATGTTCTGCTTGCATTCAGGGCTTGCACAACCTGCACACAATAAGACTGACTGACTGCACATAAGTCGTACAAGCCTTGGAATAAAAGCAGCATACCTTTAAATAACTGACACTCTCCGTCTGCTGGCAACGTCCTCTCCAATGTAAAGTATACTCTGATATGTCTGTGAACTCCTACCCACCTGAAGTAAAAGAGGAGATGCATGAGGGAGGGTTGTCTGTTGGTTGAGGCCTAGTGGCTAACCCTCATTTGTGTTTAGAGACCTTGCAGAGTAATGACAACTGAGTAGGGGCTCAGGAAGGCAATTCAGTGATGAAGTGAAGTGCAATTAAAAAAAAACAGATGCAGAACTGCCTGCCTCCTTGCAATGTTACAGCAAGCTCAACTAGATAATCACATTCTACAAGGCCCTAAGAATGAGGCAACCCAATCTCTTTCACGAGGAACTAAAACCTTTCAAACTGGGGGACAAATGATGGCATATAATTTTCCTTGCAGCTCAACACCACACAGCCCACCTTCATATCTGCTACAGTGCTTATAGGGAAGAAGCTGTATTATAAGCATCAGCAGCAGTGTACCTATCAGGAGGCCTCAAAAGTGTAGTATCTGGAAGTTCTGAAAAGGGTCCAGAACCCTCAATAATGACAAGGCTTGAGCCAAAATTTCTCATAAGACATTTTTCCAGAGAACACTGACATTTTTCTAAGTTCTCTAAAAAGAGAAGGACATGTTTATTTGTTTGTTTAATTTATATACTGCCCCACTAGTGCTGAGGCACTATGCTGAGCAGTTTACAATCAATTAAAACCAAACTCAACAATAAAACTAAATTACAACATAAATAGTTCTTCAGAGTTCCTTTTGCAAAACTTTAGTGGTTTTTTTTGGAGGGGGCATGTGCCTGCCTTTCTACCATCAGTCAGTACCACAATACTGCAGAGTAAGACACTAGGCAAAGGGCATGAAGGTGGAAGCAAAACGATGGGCCAGGCTGTCCAAACACTTGCTGTGACTGCCAGTTTCACCAATAGTGCAAAAATCAATTCATTGGGCGGGGGAGATGGGGGAAAAGGCTATAAAAATTATTGCTAATGGTGAGACCCACCTCTGAGAAATAGCTGAGAGGATATCTTTTAGAGAAACTCTGAAATGCCTGGCCTCAGTTTCTCTGGCTCCAAATAGGGTGGGAAATTTTGGAAGGCCATTTCTGTGTAGTTCTACACTGACAAGCAAACCCACCCACCATTCCGCAAACATGTATTAGTTTGTCCATTCACCTTGCAGTCAATGAGGTTTCAAATGGGGTTTTCAAAGGAGCCCAATATAGACCAGCTTCCAAACAATGTTTTCGTTGGTTGTTGTAGGTTTTTCGGGCTGTTTGGCCATGTTCTGGAAGTTTTCCTTCCTAACGTTTCGCCAGTCTCAGTGGCCGGCAGCTTCAGAGGACAGGAGCTAGAACTCTCACAGACAGTGAGAGTTAGGAAGGAAAACGTCCCAAATACAGCCAAACAGCCCGAAAAACCTACAAGAACCATTGGATTCTGGCAGTGGAAGCCTTCGAGAATACAATGTTTTCTTTGGTTACTACAGTTGCAAAGTTCAACCTGAAGATCACACAGACAGTACATATATCTCAAGATTGTTTGTGTTACAGACCAAAGACTAAATGCAACCTTACACACCTCAAGCACTCTCTTTCTCTACCTTTATATTCAAACAATTCAGGACTAATAAACACGATGACAAGGAAGAAGCAATGCAGTGCTTGGAAGCACACATTATTTTGATCTGAAAATATTTCTGAGTTACAGTTTTAAGACTGTAAAGTCCATTTATTTTAAAAAGTGATGCAAGATATATACGGATTTAGTTTTGCCATTGTTTTAAAAATAGGACTCACAAAGCCAAAGTGTAAAGCACTTTCCAACAGCTTTTATGCCAGGCTAAAGGACCAAGAATTTTTTTTAATTGAACAAATTCTAACAGCTTTATTAGCCCCCACCCAGGTAAACAGCTGTCTTTCATTTTAAATTTCACATATTTTGCTAGGTCTTAAATAACACAATACATATCATTTTGCTTGTAAACCCTGTTCTTTTGTCTGGTTTTATAATGTTTTTATGCATATATAATCACACAGGAAACACCTTTTCTTGGAAAGGTAGATGATGTACTTTTAAAATAAATATAAACTTGAGTTCCATCATTACCTTCTGTGTTAAGACGTATCAGAGCCAAAAATAATGATGGGAAGTGATTTCAAAGCACTCTGGCCTCTAGCATAACACGTGACTGTTCAAGGAGCACAACAGCTTTTAGAGGTTTCAACACAGCAGGATTTAGATAATGCTATCAACTTTTGTCTGAGCAGTTAGAAAACTGCTGGATAGCTCAGTAGTTTAGGCTGGGGGAGTTCGATTCCTCACTGTGCCTCCTTGACAGGGCCTGGACTTGATGATCTATAGGATCCCTTCCAGCTCTGCAGTACTGAGATTAGATGTGACAGGTGAACGTGGATCGCGATTTGCGTAACATATTTTCAGAGGGTTAGCCAAATTATTACGGCTGCTACTATTACTCAGTGACGCTCAAAACAGCTGACAATCTTCATTAGTATACAATTAATCTATTATGTCAACAAAGAAACACTGTAAATAAAACAGTAATTCATGAAAGAATAGGTCTTTTCAACAATATTGAAAACAACCAGGCCCTGAAAATGAGATGATTGGGAGAAGAGACACTATCATTTGGAACACATCGGCTTTAGAGGACTCTATACTGATTTGTCCTCAGTTAATCCACTCCCAGACAGACTTTCAAATACAGGAGCAAGAAGGTTGGTCAGTCAAGCAGATGGACACTGAACCCAACATCTCCAGATGGGATTAGCTCCAACTTTCAAACTACTTGTTTCCATTTTCCAAACAAGCCTAGAGCATTAATGAACAGAACAGATGGGAAATTATCCTCAGAATAAGACAAAGACCTAACTCACAAGCACCAAAGTACAGGAAGTGAAAGGTGGGCCTGGCTAGACATTTGTATGAGAAACCCACAAAGGTGGATGGAATATTAAAGAGCACATGGCCAATATAAGAAAACAGAAAACAGAAAATAAAATGAAAATCTTAATTAGGCCGACTGGTAACAAAGCAGTTTGCTGCTATCTCGACATACACACGCACACGCCAGATGGACATAATATTTTATTACTCATGTCAAATTTTGCTGCAAAAGTTAGAGCACTTGTTCTGTCGAGTCCAATACTATTCAATCTCAACCAGAATTCGTTGGAGAAAATGGCAGAGATCTGTCCCAGACCTATTAACTGATGTCCTTTAACTGAAAATGATCTGATGCCTTCTATATATCCAGCACTATAAATTATTTTCCCAGGAAGACTAAATTGGAACACTCATCAATGTCTTTTAGGCAGCAGACAAAGACCTTTTTATTTCCCCAGATATTCTTGCAAGATTCTTAATTTAGTGAGTGTGACATCAGAAGTCACCTATACCTGAGGCCACTGGCTTTTGCAGAAGTTCAGAAAAACAGCTCAGCCAACTTAACTAATTCTATGGCTTGCCTTTTGTAGTGCAAACTCCAGGATCCATATATTAGGAGGACTTATCATTATCTTAAGAATGGAATTGCAAGCCATCTTGAGCTAATGAAAGATGTAGAATTAAAAGGGTTTTAATAAGTCATTTTCCACTTACCCTTCTCTTTGGTACTCCTCGTCCAAATTTGACAATAGTTGGGAACCTGCTACAGACAGATCTAGTGCAGCTAGTGGTAAGTCCCGATAAGCAAAATTAACAAGCTGTACAGGTGCTATGCTTTTGGTTTCTTCTTCTACTTGCTGTGATATTATTTCAACTTCTGAAACTCCGCCTTCTATAGCAGGCCTAACAAACAAAGTCGACAATGGGAAACAAAAGCTACATGGTCAGCAAGAAATGGCAAGCCATTCAGCATGAGAAACATTTTATTTGTTCTGCAAAAAGGCATGCAAGCCTTGTTTGTAATTATAGTAAAAAGATAATATGAATTTATCAGCATATATTTGTCTGCCACAACCATCAAGAGGAGCGCCACCTATGCAGAATAGCAAAACGTTTCTAAAATGAGGGAATAAAGCCCCTGTTTCGAAATATTTTCCTGACTATATAAGGAAAGGAATGGGGGGACATTAAGTCTGCATCTCTATGCTGCATAATCCATTCCAGATTACTGTGTGTCATATGATGGAGTGAGAGTAAACAGCATTATGTGCTTCGTTTGAACAATCATCACCTGTATGCTGATCTGTTGATAGAAATCACTCTGGTAATCATCACATGTTCTCAGAAACAGTAAACCTCCATACCTACACAAGACTACCTAAATTTGTGAAGTTTGTGAAGAATATGAAAGTACTGGATGAAAAAACCAAGGAAGAGTTTCTATATCACACCCCGGAGAGATAGCACAGATTCTCTGCTAATGCATCAAAAAGCCTTTCTTCCAGTTTGAATAATGCCAGGATATAGCTGTAGATCTTTTTACAAAAGACCAAACTAAATGCAAAATGGTACACACACAATGGGATCCTCCAGTGCATTTTTTTTTCTTTGCTTAACAGCAGCTATTAATTTAGGGCTCAGGAAGTTCATTCATACATTTATTTTATTTATACTCTTTCTCCCAGTAAAGGGACTCAAGGCAATTTACAAAAATAAAATGTTTAAAAGGCAAGTACAGTCAAAATACAACAAATTACACGATTGAAAAGGAATTAAACATTCCAAATTAATGTATTAAAACAACGGGGGGGAGGGGAACAATTTTAAAAGTTTACTATACCTTTTCCCTCCACCATGGTTTAAATCACACATGCCCCAAAGCAACCACTTTGTAATTCTTATGGGGATGGGCAGACTGACAGATCCCCCGAACAGTACCTGTTTTCCTTCCATCTACATTTACTGGGAGGTAATTAAATGACAGAAGGAAAAACTATTTTTTTCCTCTATCCCAGGATGCATAATATGAAAAAAAAAACCACAGACATTTAGTCTCCCACATCCCTCCCAGTTTGGTCCCACTAAAACAGAGCATCTTGTTAACCCGTTAAACCACTCAGAGTGGCCTTGGCTGCCAGATGGGCTGTATGAAAATCAAATAAATAAATAAATAAACTTTTGAATAACTGCTGTGCTGTTTTGTGGACATACGGAGACTGGGAAGGTACATTTGCTTCCTTAGGGATGAAGCAGTGGAATAACGCTTTATATTCAACATTTCCTTTATGTGGTAGCTACAACTATTGCTGTGACTTGCCCCTGAAGCAGGTGATCAAAAGTCTCTAGCAATTAAAGTGACCTGGATAATCATCTGGATAATATTAATAGCTCACATTCTACATAAGGGGCCAAATTATTTAAGAACCTTTGCCTGACACAAAGCATTCAGTAAAAATTTGGAGCAAGTAGGAAGAAGTAGAAAAAAGGAGAGTCATCAGTATACACGTTTTTAAAGCATCTCCTCTGTTTCTAGATGAGAAGGGGAAGCAAGGCTTCGATTACATGAGAAGGCATAAGAAACTGATGGTGTATCTATAGGCATGTGATTGTTAGGGAAGATACTCCATCAGGTCTTATGCTCTGATAGCAAATGGCCAGACACAAAACTGCCTTGGGAATATAGACATCCTCAAAAGAAAAACAAACTAAAAAATAATAGGAGAATCTGAAACCCAATATATGTTTTGCTTAAATTTTATTACCAGTCGTACAAGTGCCCAGAGCAAGGTACAAAGAGGAATATACAGTGGTTCCTTGCTTAGCGATCGCTCCGATGAGCCATGAAATCGCTTCGCTTAGCGATCGCTCCGTTGAGCGACTAACTTTTTGCAATCGCCCCTATGGGGTTTTCTCGCTTTGTGATGATCGCGGGGAAGCGATCATGGCAAAGCGCCCCTTTTCTAACAGCTGATTGACGGTTTCAAAACGGATTTTCTCGCTTTGTGATGATCGCGGGGAAGCGATCATGGCAAAGCGACCCTCTTCTAACAGCTGATCGGCGGTTTCAAAACGGCCGCCGGGAAAACAAAATGGCCGCCCGCTGTTTTTTCTCGCTTAAGAGGCAGCGAAAATGGTGGCGCTATGGAGGATTTTCGCTTTAAGGTGAGTGTTAAGGCCACAGGAACGCATTAATCGCATTTTAATGCGTTTCTATGGGCTTTTAAATTTCGCTTAGTGATGAAATCGCTTAGCAACGTTTTTTTCCGGAACAGATTAACGTCGCTAAGCAAGGCACCACTGTAACATTGTATAATTTGTACATTTGTAAAACCAGAAATGTGATGTAGATGATAAATTAAGGAACTCTGGATTTCTAGGTATGTGCACACCACACACATACACACAGAGACACACACGGAGAGGGGGGAGTGTGTGTGTGTGTGTGTGTGTGTGTGTGTGTGTGTGTGTGTGTGTGTGTTGTGTGTGTGTGTGTGTGTGTGTGTGTGTGTGTGTGTGTGTGTGTGTGTGAGAGAGAGAGAGACAGAGAGAGAGAGAGAGAGAGAGATATTTTCCTCTAACTTTTCTATATGAAACATACTTCAATGGGGGAGGGATCACACCTCAAGAGCATAAAGTGACACACGACAGGCAGAAGATCCAAAGTCCACCTCACTGCTTCAGTTAAAAGGGCCAAGCAACAGCTGATGGGAAGTCCTTTTTCTTCCCTAGCCCTGGAGGGCTCTTTCCTGCCAGTCTAAGTAGACACAGTACAGGCGTAGATGGACAAATCATATGAGAGACTAATGGTTTTATTTTATTTAAAATATTTTTACACCCCTTCCTGTTCTCCAAAAAAAAGGCCAAAAGCCCTTGAGTCTTATGTAACTATAAGGTTACATCCTAGGATCCAATAAAAAGAGTATTTGTCTGTTCCCGTTCACTGGTTAAAACAATTTTGTACAAAGTGAAACCAGGAAGCGCTTGTTCAATTCCACAGCCATGTAAAGAAAGAAGAAGAAAAAATTACTCTGAAAAGAACAATCCAGTAAGACCATTCAGAAACGATGAGTTTCCCACACACATATTTGTAAACTAATGACACTGCTGTCTTGTTAGTACTTACTGGGGATTGGTCATGTTGGAAGATGCAACCAAGTCAGCACCTGTTTAGCTATATCCAGCTCCTCGCTCTCATTACAAATGGGATTTTCTTTAAAAAAAGAAAGAAAAATAAAGGATAAAATAAAGTGGAACATGGTGGCAAAGCCTCACATCACACCATCAAGTATGAATGCAAGCGCAGCCCAGTACATGAAGGCAGCCATAACTGGGATGTATACGTTGGTTGTGGACCCATCCACAAGGATTCATTCCTTTTCTACATATGTGCACCTTGACATGTTGTTAAGAGTAGATGCTTAGGATGATGAGGCTCAAAATGCCGAATGGAGTGAAGGCAGGAATGCTTACTGGTGTTTCATCTTGACGCTGTCTATGTCGGTGAAGGCTAGCTTATCCCTTCTGCTTGCTTGCAATGATGTAAAGCACAGACGGGGTGCTTTGAACTAGCCATTAGTCATCTGCCTCCCAAAGGATCACATCCAGCAAAACTGTGAGAAGAACCTGCCCTATTTCAGGACAAGGGGAGATTTGGGCTTTGTCAAGAAGAGAACATTCAAAGGAACTGTGCCTCCAGTAGGAAATGCTGGATTGTTGTATTGTCTTTTCAGAAACAAAAAGAGCAAATATCTGTGCCTCCCTTATCTTTTACATGTTTATCCGGATATAAACTTTCATGGTCATGTTATCTATGAAAATGTATGCTATAATACAAAAGAACTAATCTTTAAAGTGCCCCAGAACTCTTAGCTGCTTTTGATGCAACAGAATTATGAAAATGTATGCTATAATACAAAAGAATGTTGTTTAGTCATTAACAACATGGACCCCATGGACCAGAGCACGCCAGGCCCTCCTGTCTTCAATAACACAGTTACCTCATTGAAACAAAATACGAATGAATCTCACTAACTATTCTTAAGAATGGTTAAGAGAGAGAAGTCAAGACAAGTATGATCTCATCAAATTGAATAATATCCCTTAACTGGTCCATTCCAGAATCTTGATTCCCAGACATCAGGACAGACCTCTCCACTAGTATATTTCTAGATGCAGACATATAACTGAAGTTCTTGAATCTACATCCCAAGAAAAACTGTACTTTCTATTTGGTCAGAAAACCTATCAGACCTGTAGGTAACTGTAACCTCTTATGATATAATTTCTCTTTGTTTTGCCTAAACTCTGCTCATATATCAGTGGGTCTTTTAACTAATCATCAAGTTATTATGGTGGAAAGTGGCCTTGCCTTGAGAATAGGCAGCAGCATCTGCCTAGCTAAAAGAGACTGATGAAATGTTAAAGTTCACTTTTTCTTCAATAATAAATTTATTTTTAATTCAATAATAAAATAAACATCTTTACATGTTTTTTACTTGTCTCCACTATTATCTAGTCAGTGGCTTAATGACTTCCAAGGACCAAAGATTTGTTTGGAATACTACTGTCAAGAGATACTAGCAATGAAAGTCAAAATCTTCTCGTTGGGAAGTTCAGTTCATTCTTCCTCTTTCAGATCTAATGCAGTGTTTCCCAGTCATGGATCCCCAGATGTTCTTGGGCTAGAACTCCCAGAAGCCTTAACTGCTAACTGTGTTGGCAAGGATTTATGGGAATTGTAATCCAAAAACATCTGGGGATCCAAGGTTGGGAACCACTGATCTAATGGTTTGATACACAGTTTGTATTAACTTGCTCTTTATAGTACAAGTGGGTTGCATGTGCTATCTCACTGCATACACACTCTAGAAACATGGCAGGAACTGCACTTTCCCCAACAAACCTCTTTTGTATTCTTTCAAAGCACATCTCCCTTAAATAAATGCATGCCTCTGATAGCTCGTCCCAACAGGGTGGATTTTATTTGAACTAAGTTGATTTAAATCACAATGTAAATTTTAAAAAGTTTTTTTATTATTTACATTTTTAAATCAAAATTGTAATTCAAACTGTGATTTAAATGAATTTGATTTTTTTTAAAAAAATATCATTCACTTTTATCTATCTTGCTACCTAGTTTATATGTGCAGAAACAACAATGGGGCATACACAAGGAGAAGATGAGAAAGCAACTTCCACAAGCTGTGGAATGCTCATCATAGACAATTCTGCCCATCAAATTTCCAATGTGTGCCTGCTCCATTTCCACATTCTGGCACACATGTCACCACTGAGCAACAAAACACATCTAAAAACTAGAGGAACTAATCTAGAAACAGCTTCTTTGTGGCAGTAATCCCAGAGTCTCACAGGCATTAACTACAGAGAAGACACACAGAAACAACACAAAACTAGCAAGATGCCCTTATCCAAGTAAATGTGTTTAGAGCAGGACAACAGGTGTTTCAAGTGCAAGCAATTCAAAGGACTGATGCCATTTTTATTCTCATGCTCTGCAGCTGCTTGTACATATAAAGAGACAGCATTGTCTTTTCCACCCACCCCAAAGAAATACACACCCGACCGAAATACACATGGCGAGAGAGGAACCGCTTTAAAGGTTCTCTAGCAAACTGCCACTAATTTTGGAGAGGTTGGAAGGCCACAGAGTCCGAATGCTCTTAGGTGAAAGAGCACAGATATCGACAAAATGGGGGAAACACTGGTGAGAAGTGCAGAAACCAATTAGGAAAAAAGGGTGGGGGAAGAGAAGAGGCCGAGAGCCACAGGACTCACAAGGAACCCTCTTGGGGGCAGAAAAAGATATGATAAAAGTAAGTAGTTGCGTTACTGAGTTTTAAGGGATAATCTCCTTAAGCTTTTGCTATACAGCAGCAAAAGTTCTACAACGGAAGCGGATGGAAGCTCAACTATCAGAAGTGGGTTATATTTTTTTACCTTGCTCTTATCTTTTGTTTGCACTTTGGAGGAGGGTTGCGTAGCCAAGTCTGGGAAATCCAGTTCTCTCCCTGCCAATGAATCAGAGAGACATAGCGCAGCAACCACGATGAGGATGTGCTCGAATAAGACACTGAACAGCTAATATTTTCTCCCACAGAGCTTCTTCTCCACGTGCCCCAGTCAGTGCTTCAAACAGACACGAATGTTTTTGTCCTGCTGAGCCCTCCACTGGCATTCTCTGCTTCTACCCCTATGAGAGACGCAAGAAGACGCATTCTAAACCTCTGCGTGAGTATAAACGGTCTTCACATTATTGCAAGCCTTATTTCCCGTTTCAGCACAGAAAATGCAAGCCTGACGGTGAGAGTAGAAGTGGTGCTTTAGCAGTGGGGAGAGCCTGGGTGGGAAGCCGGCCAGTCGCTTTTTTCTTAGTGGATTTTGGACTGTATGTCTTTTAAAGTTTTGTGGCCAAAAGCAGTAGTGGTACTGTACCCAAGGAATCTTGTGGTTTTCCTCTGTCGTTTTAAGCTTGCTTTGTTTGAAGTCAAAGCTGTAGTTTAGGGCTATGGGAAAGCCCTGTGGGGTTGGCTTGTGGTTACGGTAATTCAGTAGGCAGTAACACACTGAGCGATGCAACTAAAGTACACACCGTCCAGCCAAAATGCAAACAATGTTTTATTTTTTATTTTTCAAGGAACTTTGGAATACCAGAACTGTGCAGGGGTGCTATCTCTGTGAATAAAAATGTTCAGAAATCTTCCTCTGTGTCCTGCAATTCCCAGAGAGCGAAAAGAATTTAAATGATGGTTTCATTCCATCTGTGCTTATCAATAGGAGGGAAAGATGTTTATTTTAAACATGCTGGGCAAAGGCTTATCAATATAGTCTTTGTTGCTAAATCAAATTCTCGATATGTCACAGGTTGGTAGCAGGAAATTAGGAAGCTGACTTATATGCATGCATTTATACATACACACACACACACACACACACACACACGCATTTACACTGGCCCCTATCTTTCCATGCATCAACTCATACAAACAAACGACAGAATAACTGAGTACTGGTGAGCCATAATGCTTGGACATAAACTAGAAAGGAGATTTCAGATCTGCCACAGCCCCAAAGAATACTGCTTTTCTCCTGTATTATTAAAATGCATACTGCACAGGGCTGTCGCTGGGAATTATATTTTTAAATTAGTATAAAATACTACTGAAAAGGCTTCTGATCAGAGATCCGTTTTGGGAAGCACGTTCTGCTCCTCCTGCTTTACTAGCTCCACGGGTCGACCTTTTGTTTCGGTGTGCAATTCAAAGTGATTGATATAATGTTTAAAGGCCCAAATGATTTCAGAGCCAGGATAATTTAGGGAAAGCAGGCAGCAGTTTTCAACCCGAAGGCCAAATTCAGTTTCAAATAAGTTCTTAGTGAGTCACATTTTCAGGATGGGTAGAGCTGAAGTTTGTTGGAAGGGGAGCAAAAATACCAGCTTATTTTAGCTTAAAGCTCTGACTGCCAGTAGCTATGCCTCAAAAGGCATTTCAACTTTTTAAAATGGAAAAAAAAACTATACAAAATCTGAGAAACCACCAGAAAATAAAGAGGAAAGTGGCATGGCCACCTTGGGAAGCAAAGAGGGCAGGATTTGGCCTCAGGGCCAGTGGCTCCACACGCCTGCTTCATGGACTACATTCCTCTACAGCAGTGGTTCTTAACCTTGGGTTACTCAGGTGTTTTTGGACTGCTTTTAGTATACAGTAAATTGCACTGAAAACTCTGATAAATGAGGGGGGGGGAGAGTACAAATCTAGAAAATTAGAAACTGTATTTCAATGTATAGGCCTCTAAATTTAAAAAGTGGAGCATAATCCCAAGGTTAAGAACCACTGCTCTACAGGAGCTGGCTTATCCTCTGCATTCAACTGAAGAGACTCTTGTCTGTGAGTCCCACGAACAGCTGAGGTAGGTACCCTTGGTGGGAAAAGCAAGGGTGTCCCTGTTCGGAGAAATGTTGTTTGTTCCTTGACTTACAATAGCATGGGGCTTTTGTTAACCAACACCTACTTTTCCTGGACTGCTTTTAGTATACAGTAAGTTGCACTGAGAACTCTGATAAATGAGGGGGGGGGGGGAAGAGTACAAATCTAGAAAATTAGAAACTGTATTTCAGTGTATAGGCCTCTAAATTTAAAAAGTGGAGCATAATTGGTAGCTGGTGTGAGCAAATTTGATCATATCATTTTGGTTCTGGCTTGTCTACACTGCTTACCCATTGTGTCCCGGATCAAGTTCAAGGTTTTGATGCTTACGTATAAAGCCCTCCACAGTCTGGGACCACATCACTTATTTATCAGAGCATCTCTCCCAAATGTCATCTGCCCAAACCACCCGATCATCTCAGACTAGGTTCCTCCACGTAGCCAACCCCGAGGGAGGCTCATACGTTATCTACAAGAGGAAGGGCCTTCTTCGCGGTGGCACCGACCTTAGGGAACCAGCTCCTGGAAGAGTTATGCCAGCCTGCCTCCCTGCTATTGTTTAGGATTCCGTTTAAAACACTACTTTTCAGGGAGACCTTCCACATTGATCCTAGTTGACTGTATGCCTCCTATCCAGCTATTATAGGGGAAATTGTCTCCGGTACCATTTGGTATTATGTTGTCAGTTGTCTTAATTTTTGTTTCTTATTAATATATGTTTTAGCTTATTGTAAACCACCCAGAATAGTGCATCAAACGAAATTAAATTAAATTAAACAAATAAATAAAAAGGGAAAAGTATAATAAAGTCAAAAAAGTAACAAAAACCATAAAGCCATGAATCATTACAGTATAGAACTCAGACAGCAGAGCCAAATAAAAAGAAAACAGCATTTAAAAGATACTAGAAAACGCAATTCACATTCAAGTACTGAGATGCATTAAGACATCGAGCTATAGGTCTAGTTATTACTTATGAATTTAAAATAGCTACGCATACAAAAAATAAATACACAGCTTTGAGATCAGTGCTAATTCTTCACTTTGCCTCCTATATGAATTATAAACTTATCTAAAAGACTGCAAGACAATGAGAAATAATTAATACCAGCAATTCACAAGATTGAGAAAATCCCCCACTTCAATGCGACCTGCAGAAAACTAGACAAAATGTCAAATACAAGTGCCTGATTAAACTGTTACATCGAAGGCCTATTAGAATTAACCTCCTTCAGTCAATATGATTGTAAGGCTAAGGGTTAATTTAAACATTAATGCAAGGGTGGATTCTTTCCAATTTCCCGCATGGATTGGTGGAAAGGCACTAGCAGGATGAATACAGCTTGGCCAGTATGCTGTCTACACAGCAGTAGCTGACTTTGGGGAATGTACTGTTCAGCAAGCATAAACACTCTGAGATTATGTAAGAGACGTTGTTAACCCACAGGGAAGACAGAGGGGCCTCTGTGCTGTGGTGTGCAAAGTGGCTCCAGGTAGGTGACCTCTATGTATGCAATAAAGCCTTGTAGACAGTCATTCCCCCTCCTTCCTCTGCCAGGCTTAGTTCAACTGGGACACAAGCAAAACAGCTGTAACAGCACAGACTTCTGATTCACACTGGCTGTGGGAAAGTGAAATGAAACTCCTACAGCAAAATCAGGCTTACACCAGATCAGCTCATTCGTCCCTCTAATCTAAATACTGTAAACCACTCAGGTCTACTTTGGCAGTTGAATGGCAGAAGACTTTCCCGGGAATGCTTTTGAAACTGGAAATGGTAGGGAGCAATCCATCTGCAGGCAATGCATGGTAGCCACAGAGCTAGTCTACACTATTAACTACTTGGGGATAAGTATTATTAAGGGAGGCTGACAGATATACTAAAATAAAAGCAAGTAAATAAATACTCTGAGCCAGTGGTTTCCAACCTTGGGTCCCAAAGTATTCTTGGACTAAAACTCCCAGAAGCTTTTACCACTAGCTGGCTGGTGCGGATTTCTGGGAGTTGCAATCCAAGGACATCTGGGGAGTGTTCCCAAGGTTGGGAACCACTGAGGGATGGATAAAGGAAAAAAACATCATCTTTCAGTTCTTAGGTAAAGGTAAAGGTTCCCCTTGACATTTAGTCCAGTCGTGTCTGACTCTAGGGTGCGGTGCTCATCCCCATTTCCAAGCCATAGAGCCAGCGTTTGTCCGAAGACAGTTTCCGTGGTCATGTGGCCAGCGCGACTATACACGAAACGCCATTACCTTCCCACCGAGGTGGTCCCTATTTATCTACTCGCATTTTACATGCTTTCAAACAGCTAGGTTGGCAGGAGCTGGGACAAGCGACGGGAGCTCACTCCGTCGCGTGGATTCGATCTTACGACATCTGGTCTTCTGACCTTGCAGCACAGAGGCTTCTGCAGCTTAACCTACAGCGTCACCACGTCCCACAAGTTCTTAGAGGCTACTGTAAACCCAAGAGTCTCCAAGGTTTTAAGAACGATTTGAGGGAGAGAGAGAGAGCCTGAAAAATTAGGGCTCATCTCACTTCACATTAAAGATGTGAGATTTGGCTCATTTGGAAGCTAATTTCTGAAATTTTATAGGTATTCGTTCCCCTTTTCTAAATTGACACAAACAATGTAGTGAAAAGAATGTTTTGAATACTGCAAAGAGAACAAACCAGAACTCCAGGAAATGCAATACAGGATTAAAATATGAGCCCTGGTATTACTGCCCCCATAATCCCAATTCTATTAAGGCACATAGATATGATACCTTTGCACCATAGTGAGAAGTTTGGCTTCACCGGACGCTGCAGAAAGATTCCATTAGTCGTAAGATATATCCACTATCTATTGATCTCAAGTGGTATGCTTTTTGAAGTCCATTCTGCCTTTGGAAAGTTCTATGATGCCCTTTTAATTTACTAGAGAAGTGGATTTCCAGTGATTAACAATGTTCTCTTCACACCTGGAAGCAGAAGAGAAAATATCATTAGAAGAGTTGCTCAAACTTTAAAAAAAAACAGTCTTCTAGGGAAATAAACCAGTGGCCTGAATCAAACAACTAACCCTAACCAAAGTAGACCCACTGAATCAATGGGATTTTCCTAAGTGTTGACTAACCACTGAGCAGCTGATGCAATATGTTTGATGTAGCTAGGACAAGCAACTGGATTTAGGCCATGATGTTTTATAGAATGATTTTAAACAAATAAATAAATGACCAAACTTAAATATCCTTCTTCTTTGCCCCCACCAACTGCAACAAGGAAATTAAGGCCAATAATATGAAGCAGAGGCTTTGCATTAAAAGCTGCTCTGCTGAAAATGGAATTTGCTGGTACCAAGAAATAGCTAGCTTTCTTCATCTGTCATTAACACCATGGGCACACTTCCAGAAAGGATGTATTTAATTTGTATGAATTTGTAGCTCAGAATGTACATCTTAAAGGCCAGCAGTATAACAGCAAAAGATCATTCTGTTAATATGAAGTATAGCCATCTTCTCTCAAATGCAACACACTCTGCAGTTTAGCTCCCAATGACAAATATTCTTGATGTTTAAGACGACACGTTTGCAAACAGCTACAGTTACTTCATCCTGGTGCTCCATATGGTACAGTATTTGCCAGGCTAAACCAAGCAATTAATCAAAAAATGTGGCATTCTGTCTCTTGCCTTATGCTCGGGAAGATCTCAGTGACTTACTAAGATGTAACTCCACTCTGAATTAGAGGTTTGTTTGAACCTTGATAAAAGATTTGCCCTTGTGCAGTATCATTGTACCTGGAATTCTGTCTCTAGTGTATAGAGTTTGCTTTTGAACTGTTAGCTGCAAAACATGGAGTGCTTACACATGCTCTGTGGGACAGCTACCATCAGCCATGAACAGATTTCCAGCACTATCTCAGAGCAGATGGTGTAGCTTTCTGTTCCTCTTTCACTCTCAGAGGCTTGGAGCACATGTCATCGCTGACTCTCTTTCGTTTATACAGGGCATTCCCATGTAGATTTTAATGTAGAGTAGAAGAGTAGTGGAACTGTAGAGCTTCAAGGGACCCTATGGATCATCAAGTCCAGCCCCTATCAAGGAGTGGGGAACTGAACTTGCAGCCTCTGGCTTTGCAGCCAGAGGGCTAAACCAGTGTGTTATCCAGCAGTGTGACATTAAGGTATAAAACAACAGTTGAAGCCTTGTGTTCTCGAAGGCTTTCACGGCCGAGACCCGATGGTTGTTGTAGGTTTTTTGGGCTGTTTGCCCTTATTCTGAAATATTTCAGAACAGGGCCAAACAGCCTGAAAAACCTACAACAACCAGTTCAAGCCTTATTTATTTCATACCTATTTTATTCTACCTATCTAGTGTCTCTTGCTTTTGTTGATTACTGGACTTTTTAGTGTTGTCTCTGCCTAGGGCTACTGATTATTATTTATTTGCAGTCTACTTAGTTACTTAGATTTTACTTATTTAAATATTTAGCTATTAGTTGTTTACTCTCTACTGCAGAATAGCTTACAATAAGATGAAACAGAAGTGTGTGATACAAAATTGTAACTACTCACAGGGTGCCAGTACAGCAGGGGTGGGCAATTAATTTCTATAAGGGGGCCACATGAAAAATCTGAACTGTGTTCGGGGGCTGAACCAACTTTACTTAAAAATAAAATGAAACAGTGATGTTTGTTTTATTTTAAACTTGTTCATCTTCACAAATACTAAAGAGTTTTTTGCGGTATAGTAAAGATGAGCAACGGAACAACTTTAGACAAAAAGCTATACAGTGGTGCCTCGCTTAGCGATGTTAATTGGTTCCAAAATGCCATCCTTAAGAAAAAATTGCCATAGGAAACATCGCTAAGCGAAACCCGGTTCCCCAAGTGAAATGCATTGAAACCTATTCAATGCATCTCAATGGGGGGGGGGGGAATTACAACAAATTGAAAAAGAGTCGGAACAAAGTCAAATTAGTTTAACAAAGGGTTTATTAAGTGCACTTATGATTTCAAGCATTCTAAACATTTTTAAACATTTTTAAACGTATAAAAAACAGCCAACAGGAGGCTGTCAAAACCATCGTTATAAAACAGGGGGACCCAAACTGTCATCGCTATGCGAAGCATGGTCCCAAACATCGCTATGCGAAAATTGCCCATAGGGAACATCGTTAAACGGAGTGCAAGATCACTCCAAAAAAGCCATTGCTAAGCGAATTCATCATTAAATGAAGCGCTCGTTAAGTGAGGCACCACTGTAAATGGTTTTGATGTTCAAAACTGTCTGTGGGCCAGACAGGAGTGGCTCACGGGCCGTATGTGGCCCTCGGGCCACACTTTGCCCAGGTCTGCAGTACAGTAAATACCCAAACATGACAATCAATAAACTGAAGTCAATAAAATCACCTAGTATCAAAAGAATGACATTTACAGGCCTTAACAGGATAAGATCTGTCACCTAAACACTAGGCCATCCAAACCAGGATAGCCTTCTGCTCTTTTTTTCTCAAATAGGTTTAGTCACAAAGACTTCATGTTCCTCCTGATGCCCTTTAGTTTTACACTTTGTATGCCCATGTGCGTTTTCATGTGTCACTAAAACATAAAACAATGTGTTAAGCTTTATTTTATCTATTTCATATCTATTTTATTTCACCTGTCTGGGGATTTCATCATACAAGTCTTACAGGTGAAGATGGCCTTATGCTGCCTCCTAAACACTAAAAGAAGGCCCTTCACAAATGTCTCTATCAGATACACACACACACACACACACACACACACACACAGAGTGAGAGAGAGAGAGAGACAGACACAGACACACAGACACACACACACACACAAATATTCTTCTAGAAATCTTGCTGGTCTCCTGAAATTTCTTTTGTGTGTCGATTGTTGTAACTGTGGCGAGATACGGACTGGCACTTAGGGAATGAGATCACTGTTACCATATATGTTAAAAGACTTTATTTTTAAAATCCTGTTGTACTAAGCAATTTTAAAGGGAGGAAGAATTCAGGTGGCATGTTTTTTTTTTAATTGCATTTGTTTCAACTGTGTTTTGGAGCCTTTTGCTTTTCTATTTCTCTATGCAGCTGAACTAAAATATTAAAAGCTATTGATTGCTATTGTTGCGTGAGCCCATGAAATAGGCCTCACTAATTGGGGCATGATGAACTTTTTCACAACTTCAGTTATGAAAACCTTATTATGCCCCAATTACCAAAGCCTAACTGGAGTTAATTGACTCATCAGTTATTTGGGTAATACATACAGAGAGAGATGCAATGATGGAAATAATAGTTTTTAAAAGCAAAGAAAGAAAGAAAGCTGAATACAAACTAATCAATATTTTGTTATAAGGGCAGGACTGCTATTCTGTCAGAAGATACAATGGATACAAGAACCCTCTGTATTCATAATTTTAGTACATGTATTTACAGGAGGAAATAGCACTGTGGCTATGTGGCCTATGCATCTCTGTTTGGAACAAGAAACTGAATGAGGATAAATCTTCAGCCTTGGTGAAAAATCCTAAACCCTGCTGCAGTTGACAGACTGAGGCACTTCTGATAGATATAGGAGGCCACCCCTCACTTCCCCCAGCAATGCCTCTGGAAAATAACATTAAATCATGGTGTGGCACCCTTGTAATTGATACACTGTGGGAAAACACAGTGGTTGGAGCAGCTCCACATTGTTTGAAGCAGTGGGAAAACTTTTCTCAAGAAAAGATGGAACGGCAGAGATGCTAGTGCTGCTACGGTCAATTCACTGGCTAGTGTTCTAGCTCTTCTTTGCCCTGTCAGCTGCAATACTGCACCAGTTTCTGAATTCACCAGTTTATAGGATCTTCCTGGATCAATTATTGAGGGAAAAGTAGCAAGCACTTAATAAATATAACACACAACAAACTCTTCCTTGAAAGAGCAGTGGAGAAAGACAAGCAAGATTTCAAACTATGTTTGAGACATGTTATAGGTGGTTTTAGGAAGGTACTGTACTTACACAGAGGAAAAATTACATGGGAATACAAAGATCATGGATGTAAGTTAACCGACAGCAGTTCCTGGGCAGTTGAGAAAACTGTTACATACCAAACACATTAACTAACATTACATTTCTTGGATGAGCAGAAGAAGCAAAGTTAGGAATGCATGAAATTGAGTCTGTCTTATTAGTATGTAGAAGATGAGTTCTGGTGAAATCCATGTCAAGTTGCTATGTACATTTTAATTACAATAATTATGTGTTGTCAAGTAAATTCTGACATATGGTGACTCTTTTCAGGGTTTTCCAGGTAGAAAATATTCATAAGTGGTTTACTGTTCCCTCCTTCTGGGGGTGCCCTGGGACTGTGCAGCTTGGCCAAGGCTACCCAGGCTGGCTCTACTCACAAGAGGCACTGTGGGAAATCGAACGCCAAACCTCTGGCTCCGCAGCCAGATATCTAAACCACTAAGCTATCCACCCGTGCATATTTATAGGAATGCTCTTTATATCCTAGCTATCGCTTTTATCCCAGATTAAAACTTTTGCTGGTGTTCTTACAGGCAGTAACCTTAGAATTACCACTTGACCCTTTCAGTGCTCACTGAACGAATAGCCATAATCCTTTCCTTTAATGTCCATGTTTTTCCTTTAGAAGGCTCTGTCCTCTCATTCACATTTACGTTCCTATTTCGTTCATACTTCCACAAATGGAGACGGATTGTTACCCTCTGATCTAATGCAAATTGTAACAGATTCAAGATAAGGAAAACGGAACATTTCATCATGCACGCCATAACTATCTAATTTATCAAATGTATATGCCTGCCCTTCAGTAACCCCAGTTTTCTGAGTGGCTAACCCAAAAGAAACAACAGTGAATCGAATCTGTGAGAGTCCAAGATAGCAATCTGAAAATGAATATGACAAGTATTAAAAACGAAAGTATTTCCATTTAAAACAGTAGTGAAAAGTCTCCTG